TGTAATCGTCGTTGCTGAGCTTCATCTGGTAATTGTCCTGCAAGATCCTGGAGCGAGCCCATGAAGCCGACGGACCCAGCCAATACCAGAAGTGGCACTCTCACATGAGGTTCCAGCGCTCATCAAGCATGAGTACTAGCATGGTCTTGACAGACTGCCGCACTTCAAACATGCAAGCCACAGCATCTTGACGAGCAAGCTGCGTGAGGGGCTCCACTTACATTCATGCACTGTACTGTCGAAGCATATGTGAACAGTAGAAGCAGCAGCAGCAGCAGCAGCAGCGGCAGCAGTAGGTGTAGAAGTAAATGCAGTGTTGTTGCCATAAGCTCAAGCTTAAATATCATGTCACTCGGGAAATAATATGGTGTTGGCTTCAAGTCTAGTTGACACACCACTTCAACTACATTGTCGTCCGTTCATGGTGATTGTCTTGCCTGCCAAGGGATCAGCAATTCGGAGTGTGAAACACTGTGATTCGGCGTGAGTACCTTCGGATCCAATACTGTCAGGCTGCACATGTGTTTTCGGCAGCTTGGCTGTTCATTGGACTGCAGTCCAACGGCACAGCATGTTTAGGCATAGGAAACTGCCCCAGCAATTCTAAGAGGTGGAAATCATGTTGCTTTGCTTCAGCGCCATCCCTGCAGACCAAAACACATCCTAGATTTCATTCATGTCCACAAGACCTTCACCCACCTCGCACACGCCGAGTGGCACTGGATCACCGCAAATCGACTCCAGAAAAATCACCCGCAGTGGTGCCGCCTTGTCATCCGCCTCCGCCTCAAAATACACAGGCAAGGCAGTTCGACCCCGTGCCGTGGATGTTTGCCCTGCCAGCAGGCCTTCAGCTCTCCTTCGGAAATCCTTCCCTTGGTTTTGGCTTCGAATCAATACAACCAGGTAATCTTTGCCGCTTCTCTTTTCCAGGTACTACACTTTTCTGCCGCATCGAAAACGGGGAACTTTCGGCAAACGGTTTCGGACCGCGTGATGCCCTCGGCCGGACAGCTAACTGCCAGCGACCAACGACGGCCCATCCCCCGCCTGTAAGGCGCAAGCAAAACAGGTCTCCAAGACCTTCTGCCGTCGCGCAATGGTGGTGTTGGTGGCGTCCAGGATGCCGATGGAACTGGTGCCTTGCGCTTGAGCTGAAACCAAAACGGCTTGGGGCAGCGTCAACGTCTTTGTTGCATGAGGCAAAGTTGATTGTCAAAAGGACTTTCCTACTATCCAGTGTGTTTTTGCTGCGACGCTTTGCTAGTGCTAGCATTGCAGTTGGCGCTGCAGTGCCACAGGTGCTGGCCGTAACAAACGCGTGGGTCCAATCCCCATCGAAGGCCTGGTGGAGCAGATCGGATCCACGCCAAGAGCCGTTCGCAGCAGAGCATGGCCAGTCGCTCGCGCTCCTGCTTGGCCGCTTCGTTGGCGGCGGAGAAAAAGTTCGCCTCACAGGGCTCCCCGTCCCCGGAAGGCCAAGCGAGGGCCCGGAGTTCAAACAATGCAGCGTGCACAGCTGCCATAAGCATCCTGTCCTCGCCCACACAAGCGAGCAAGCTGATGGGAAAGAGGAAAGTCCCTCTGAGGGTCATGTTTGTATTCAGGAACCAAAGGTAGAGAGTGAACAGTGCCAAGTGAGCAAGTGAGCTGAAGCCCCCCAAGAAAAACTGGGACCGTTGGCCTGGGCCTTGGGCGCGTTCCGGATGCGCGAAAGGTCTTTCGTGCTGGGCAAGCATGCGTTGGCCTTTGAAAAGTTCATGTCCTGGTGCGGGCCTCGAAAAACCGGAGATCTTCACCTCTTACTGCAGCATCCCAGGCATTGACAGGCACTGCGACTCAAAGCAGCCGCACTTGCTCCACGAAGTGAAAAGAGCAACAAACCACCCGGAGCATGCCACCCTGGCATCAACCGCATGAGTTTGAGTAGTTGGGTGGAGAGTTGGAGGGAGAGCGAGGGCCCGCCTCGATGCCGGCCTTGCCGGAATCCCGGCGCAGATCCCCGGCGTTGAAGCTCCGCACCCGCACTCCCAGAAGCTTCAGATGCCTGTCGAAACGGGAGCCCTCGGAATGCAGAGGCGTGACCATTCTTTGAGGGTGACCTCTTTTTGGGGGTGGTTTTAAAGGGAAACGGGGTTCCCCCATTTTAAGACAAAAACTTGCATGGCCATGACTGCTTTCTTCCCAATGTAGTCTGAGAAAGAGGGTCTTGGAGCACCCGCGCCTCAGCACGGCGCCACTAATGAAGGACTTGCCACGCGCCGGGAGCCCCACCAGCACCAGCACCACTGCTTCCCGAGACACGACCTGAGATTCTCGCAGCGGACGTTTTGGAGGCTTGGGGATTGATTTGGCTTTTGGCAGCCGTTCTGTGTTAAAAGTCTCGAAAATATTGAATTGTGTGTGTGTGTGTGTTTTTTGTCAGCCGGTCAACATCTCGCTATATTATGTGTCTCTGTGCAGGAGAAAGTCAACTGTTATGTTACAAAGATGTTCACAATGCTACCTTCTGCTCGCTTTGCTTCGTGGCCATTGAACTCACCAGTTTCAGAACTGTCGTGCTGCCGTGACAGTCATGCATATCACGCATCAGTTAGGCAACAGCACACAAGCACACCAGTCACGACAAATTGAGCGGTGGGCAGCTGCAACGCAACCAAGTCATCGACGCATTCCGACACGAAAAAACACCCCCAGACAAAAGACGACGTTCGCTTCGGGAAGCCAAGCACCTGGGAAACCCCGTCTCATGCATTCAATCCCACTCATCACCGACTGCACCCGACTGCACCCGACTGCACCCGACTGCACCCAGCGGCCTGCCTGCGGGTCCGCGGTGCGCTCCATCCAGGCGCTCATGGCCTCCAGAGGCTCATCACGGTCCTTCTTCTTGAACTTCCGCAGCACCGTCTCCAGCACCGACGGCGCGGCCGGCAAAGCGACCGCCTGCGAGGTGAAACGAGGCCCGGATTTGTTCGGGGGGAAGCAAGGAGGATGCTCATGGTACTCATGGTACTCATGGTTGCTGTGCCAAGTAAAGGGGCTACGGGATGCTTGACTCCCTGTTCATGCCAAAGCCTGGTGATTGCAATACCTCAAGTGGTACACCTGCTGATTCTGCAAACCAACCTCCTGACTGTCATGTTACCGAGACTTGACATGGGCTCTTTGGATCACCGGTCGTACTTGCTCCCTTCTTTCTCTTGCTCCCCCCTCGCTCAGCTTCCAGCCTCAGAGCTCTTGGTGTGGCCGAGCTGAAGAAAGCTCTGGCGCTTGAAATCCTCCACGTATCGGGAGTCGCACGTATTGGAAACCATTGGGCAACGCAAACGCCGGAGAGGACCAGTGTGAAATGCAAATCGAAGAGGAACCAGAGTGAAATGTGTAACGCACCGGACATGAGAGAATGGCAGACCGAGACGCCAAGTCTTGCTGAACCTTCACATGGCAATCCAATGTCATCCCGTTGTTCGATCAAAATGACCCAGATGTTCAGCATGACTCCAGCCTTTCCAACCCGTACTTCTGGTGACCTAATCCTGTAAACATGTGCCATCACACCCAATCCTTTCAGTCCTTTCAGGCAGTGCCAGAAAAACAAATTCATGCAGGCAGGCTCTCTATGCCATGTTCTCTTTCAATGCAGGTTGCTTGCTCAAATGATGGATGCAGCATACAGTACCGCTCAATTCTGTCACAAGCATCCGTCAGCAGGGACTTCTTATTGGCTTGGGGATGTGCTTCATAGACACGGGGAACAAGCATGGCAGCATCTCCCCCCACCCTGCCAGTTTGCTATCCAGGCGTTGGCCCATGGTGCCCGGTCCTTTCTGCCGTTGAGATTTTGAAAGGAACTTCTCTGGGCCGATGGCCGTCTATACAGGAACGGACAGCAGCACGACAAAAGGCCCGACATGGCCAGACGCAAAGCCAATTTTGCAAAGCCAATGTCATGTTGGATGCTGCCTACTGTTGGAAGTGCTGTTGGAACTGTCGTCCGATGTGCTTAAAGATTGATGACTGCTGGCACTGTGAGGCCAAGTGGCCCGCATGCTCGTTGTTACTGGAAAGGCACAACTGAAAACGCAAGTCCTCTTGATGTTCAAGCAGCAAAAATGTTTGTCAGCAGTGCCCCCTTTGTCAGCAAATGACATCTCTTCACATGATATCTCTTCACATGATATCTCTTCACATGCCGCAGAGTGTCTCTCTTTTAAGGAGGGGCTGGCGGTGATCAAGATTTACGGCATCAAGCTGAAAGCAGAAGCGGCAACAGGGCATCTACATTTCTGCAGAGCTTGAGAGCCTGTTGAAACTGTCCATACCTTGGGAGCTTCATGATCCAGAAATGAAGCATGGACGAAAATTGCGAGATGCATGTGCCCCAGACTAAGACTTGAAGATGCATGGAATGCCGGGGCCAAATCAACCACCTACAACCATGGGACGATGCGTCCTCCGCTGATTCCTGCAAAAATATTTTGGGCAGTCCCAGGCGATGCTACATCCCAGCGCAAAGGCGTAGCCCATGCTGCGCACATTTTTCTTGGACACCTCCTGCGACGGCTCGCTCACCGGCCACAAATAACCAAAGGTTGTGCCAATGGTCCCGAATGGGTTGAGAACCACGCCACATCCTTTGCAGGTGAGAACGTGCTGTGCTTCAGTGCTTCCGCATCTGCAGGTGGGCAGGTGCTGTTCCAGAAGGGCAGACTCGCGTAGAGTCAGAGTGTCAAGCACTGTCCCTTCAAATTGCTTGGGATCGGCTTTGCTCTCAGTTCACAGGTCTGCAACCCCCGGAACAGACAGCTCCACGATGGGCGACTGGCGCCCTTCAGGTGTTTGCTGCAACTTCCAGCAATTAGCCTTTGCTATCAAAGCCTCTGCTTTGCTTCTTCTTGCCAAAAAATGTGTGGGGCATCGTTGCAAAAGTGGACATTGACATGTGTGGACCTATGTTAGGAGTCAAGCTGAAGTGAAGCTGAAAAGCTGCACAATAAGCCAACCCCAGCTGTGGTTGTCCGTTATAAGAGTGCTCTGCGTGCCTCGGTTGCCTGCTGCAACTGTCAGCTCACTCAGGCAGGCAGTCAGATCTAGGATTGCTGCCTGGCAGAAAAAAAGCTGATTGGATTGTCTAGCTGTCCCTGACGCTGTAGCCAGGCACGCAAAGGAATTGAAAACACAAGCACGCACTTAGCATGTCCCAAGTCGATAGCACTTTTGATCGTGAGGCCTGTTCAATCATGACATGCCTGTTGAAACTTGGATCTTTCTAGATTGCTGCTGTCCTTTCAATTTCGAGGTAAGAGCTGGTCACCGACAAGTTCAAATGGGTTATGTTTTGGTCATTCAGGATGCTAGCCAATTTTGCCAGCAAGACTGTCGTGCACCACCCACATTGAGCAGCATCTGCTGACCGTTGGGCAAGTACCTTGTGTGGGCGGAGGCTCAATACGGCAGTCGGACAGTGGCATGCTAGAAGTGGAAAAAACCTGACACAAGCCAATCTAGCCAATCTAGATAGCTAATCTAAACTTCTTCGTCTCTCTACCATTCTGTCTCTCCATCTCTCCTTATCTCTCTATCAGTCTATCCATCTCTTTCTATCTATCTATCTGATTGTCTGTCTACCTATCAATCTTCATACCTATATAGCTACATACCTATATCTATATCTATAACTGTGTGTGTGATAAATTGACAGCGAGCTAGACTAGACAAGACAAGCCTAGATTAGACAAGACTAGCCAAATAAGGTGGATAGATAGGTAGGTAGATTTTAAACAAAAATCTGTGCGTCTGTCTGTCTGTCTGTCTGTCTGTCTGTGTCTGTCTCTGTCTGTCTCTGTCTGTCTCTGTCTGTCTCTGTCTGTCTCTGTCTGTCACTCTGTCTGTCACTCTGTCTGTCTGTCTGTCTGTCTGTCTGTCTCTGTCTATCGGTGTCTGTGTCTCTGCACGTCTGTCTCTGTCTGCGTCTGTCTCTGTCTGTCTCTGCCTGTCGGTGTCTGTGTCTCTGTCGGTCTGTCGGTCTGTCGGTCTGTCGGTCTGTCGGTCTGTGAGTCTGTCGGTCTGTCGGTCTGTCGGTCTGTCGGTCTGTCGGTCTGTCGGTCTGTCGGTCTGTCGGTCTGTCGGTCTGTCGGTCTGTCGGTCTGTCGGTCTGTCGGTCTGTCGGTCTGTCGGTCTGTTGGTCTGTCGGTCAGTCTGTCTCTGTCTGTCTCTGTCTGTCGGTGTCTGTGTCTCTGTCTGTCTGTCTGTCTGTTTGTCTGTCTGTCTGTCTGTCGGTCTGTCTGTCTGTCTGTCTGTCTGCTCGTCCGTCTGTCTGTCTGCCTGTCTCTCTGTCTGTCTCTGTCTGTCTCTGTCTGTCTCTGTCTGTCTCTGTCTGTCTCTGTCTGTCACTCTGTCTGTCACTCTGTCTGTCACTCTGTCTGTCTGTCTGTCTCTGCGTCTGTCTGCCTGCCTGGCTGTCTCTCTGTCTGTCGCGATCCTACCAAACGCCGCGCCTGCCACGACAAGGGCGCTCTGCGCCCCAAAGCGATGCGCATGCCACGAACTTTGCACGTGACCGTCCAAAGCGCTCAAAGTACTGCGGCTGCTCCAAAGTGCTGCGCCTCTCACGCAAAGTGGGCAGCCCCGCGACAGGGCCAATGAGCATGATGCTTGCGCAGACGCTTGCACGCATGCCAAGAAAAACACCTTAAGACGATCGCCACGCAAGCCCGCGCTCCTCCAAAACACTGCGCCCTTTGTGAGGGAAACGACACGCAACGTCGCAAAAGCTACGATTTGCGCACGGGCGCAACGGAAACGACATGTTGCAAGTCATACACATTGCACATTCTAAGCCTCCCCCAACGGCACGGCAACTTTCGCCACCTGCGAACGCTGGCAACCGCTTGCAAACGTTTTCGGACGACACGGAGGTGAGTATGTGGTTGCTGCCTCATTTAATACAGAAATACTCGGGCAATTGGATGCCAACATTTGCAAAGAGAATCAGAACCATTGCCGGCCCTGCTTCCCGGCACCCATGAGCCGCAAAAGCGCACTGGATAACAATTACAGCCACAAACGCGACCACCATATCTTAGACCCGGCCCCCGGTCCACCAGTCACATTGTGGAAGACTAGTTTGTCCACACTGAAGGCAGGTGTTCAGTCGGACTGACAGCGACAAAGGCAAATACAACAAACAGGCAGGAAGGCAAGAAGGCTGGTATGCACAACAACCCCTGAAGCACAACGAATCATCAACATGACACACAAATGCAGAAGGCCATGCCCCACTTGAGGGGCGCATAACATTTGGCGATTTGGCCAGATTCTCAGCGATGTCCTTGGCAGCATCGATGCGTCGCACCTGCAAAGGCTTGGAGTCTGGCAAAAACAATACAGAAACAAAGCATGTGCTGAGAGAGGGGACATTCACATCTTCGGAAAGATCTCTCTGAGAAATGTGAGGCAAGAAGACAAAGCTCGGCTTTGGAGAACGCTTGCCAGAGTCACTTAAAAACATGTAGTCTCCCTTGGGGAGCTCTCGGAATGCAACTGTCCCCAAAGAGCCCAGCTCTAGCACTCCATGCGACTTTCCCACTGAATCCTGCCTCAATGAGCCCAGAGCCATGCTCTTTCAAGGCCTGGCCGGGAGACGACCCTTCCGACCATGCCGTGGATGGAAAAGCGAACTCCGTTCGCAGCAAATGAAACCATAGGTTGAAGCCATAAGGTTTGGTTTTTTAGCCGGGGAATCGAATCAGACACCAGGGCTTCTTAAGTGATGCGAAATGACTTTCGCAACCATCCACAGAAGCACCTAAAAGGTCAGCTTCCTCTTGGAGGGACCCGTGAGGTGTCATTGGCAATGTGGGAGAGAGGGTAAAAATTCCCAGAGGGATTCTCAAAGTCGCCCACTTGGGGGGGGGGGGCGGCTCTTTTGAGGATGCCACATGGACCCAACAAACAGAATGCAGTTTCTTCCCATTGCCGTGCCGTGGCATTTGCCTCGCACCTTGCTCAGGTTCTTCGGAATCTTGGAAGTTGGAAATAAGAAAATCACCGAGAAGCCCTTCATGAGCTCAATTTGCTTGAGCGCGTCAATATGCAAATGGATAGGGAGCAGGCAAACAAATCACGCAAATGGAGCGCCCGAAAGGCGCGGTTTGCTATTTGGTAGAATGAGTCGTGCCCCAAGAGATTTGTCACAGATCTCACGCTTGGCTTCGTGCCGAAGCCCTGCCTCTGAGATCATCTTTGCCGCCTCTGCTTCGCCTTCGGATCGAATGACCTCAAAGAGACAGGTGGCACGGGCTTTGACCCTCAAGCCTGCAAGTATGCGGTGCCTGCTAAACTACGACCTCCGTACTCTTGAAGCACTGCCTTTCTCATTTGCCATGGGCCAATTCAAACAGGCTGTGGAGATAGACAGAGGCTTTGTCATGTGCACACAGAGCTGCATGGCTCGACACGGGTCGCAATGCGTGCCTTGCCTATCAAACCTATCTGTGAGAAGTCTGAATCACAAGCCTTGACCAGAGTGATCAAGGCTAGCGCCGCGAATGGGAGTGAAGCTTGGCCGGGGAGAGCGGAACTTGGCTCCAGGCTGTGGCTTGTCGCTCCTGCTCCGCCTTCTCTACAATGAACTTTTGCCTTTCTGCATCCTGCTGAGCCACCTGTCCACACAGCATCGTTATCAGCCAGAGAGGCGATCTGCTGGCAGCTCTGCCAATTTCTCTATGCACCGCCGGCTTGTCAATTGCAAGCTGACAAATGATCGGCCTGCTTCTCTTCGATTGCGCGCGCAAAATCCTACGCCGGGTCAAGGGTTATCACTCGAGCTCTGGGAGATGTTGTTGCGGACAAAATGCGAAAATCAAGAAAGGAAGCAAAAGGCAAAGGCCTGTCAAGTTAATCTTTCTGACTTTGAACTGCGAGACTCATGGCGTGAAAAACACAGCGGCACAGTGGCGGGTTTTGGTGGTGCACGGTGCAGATTCCCCGGTCAAGAAGCAGGTTCGGAGAGCAAGCCTGATGTCAATGACACCTGTTGCTTTCCAGCTTACGGCGCAGCAACTGTTGAGTTCCAATTGGTCGCTTTTACTGATGAGTCACGACTGTTGTCTGAATACAACTATGCTCAGTGGTGTCCTTGCCGTAGGTGAGGTGAGTGATGGCAATGTCATCCTGAAGCAGCGCCATTGCAACAGCAAGTTCCACACTGTCTGGATATAAACCATCAGGACCCAGTCAAACGGCTGGTTTTTTCCCCCCTTGTACAGTGGGAACACCAGAAGAAGAAAAAAACATGTGCAACGCTCGTGACACAAGCCATCGGCAAGACAAGGCCGCGGCCATGAGGATGTTGAATTGGTGCGCTCTCGCCACAATGGCCTGTCACAGAGCTCAGTGGAGTCACCCTCGCTCTCTCAAGAAGATTGGAGAACCCGTACGGCTGCGCCTCACGGATTTCTCTGGAGACCTGGCGAGATCCACACTGCCACGGGCAGCACATCAGGACTACATGAAAAGCAAAGCAGGCGAGCAAGAAAAGTACTGTTCAAACTTCAAGCAAAACAAAATGTGTTGTTTTGTTCTTTTTTCCGCGTTGCTCGGAGCGCAAAGAGCATTTCCGCCGCTTCCCCTGACCTTTGTCAGCCATGGCGATCCCTCCCGGTGTCACGCACGTCTTGTGCACACACCGCACGAGCGACCGGGCGCCCTCGATTCCAAGCCTTGCTGCACTGCGCAGCTCAAGACACGAAGCTACGGAAGGCAAAGCGCGAGCTCAGCCAGATCCCAGACTCGGGCGATCAGTCCGTTCCCGGGGATCACGCGGTTTGGGCACCCTGGCAGCGGAGAGAATAGCTGGAAAGCCTCCAAAACGTGTGAGCTGTTGACACCTGAAACAGCGGGCACTAGCATTCCGGTGGATCAAACCTCCTTTGGATGGGTGCTCAATCTCAGTTGTGTTGGGCTCTTGGCAACATTTGCAAACCTTATATTATTGTTCAATCAGAACTGGAATCCACATCAAACTGCAAGAGTCTGGCTGCTTGTAAGACTAAAACTGTCAAGGCTTCAAGATTTGGTGCAAGCTTCACAAAAGTTGTCCGGAGAACTGCACCTAGACAAACCAAACCTGCGCAGAATGAGATAATTCATGATTCTGTGCGGGGTGTCTTGCAAGTCACTACCCTCAGCCAGCCGACGAACATCCGCGCACAGTGACAACCAAAGTACAAAGCAAGACTGCGCCTACATGCATATGGTTTGCTTGCCGAAGCTCTTCGAGAAAGATTGGCAACAGGTCTTTCATTTCACTCAGCAATGTTAAGCAGATGGGCCAAAACTGCAACATACAATGGAACATAACAATTGCATAACAATTGCCACAGCCTAAACAATGAAAGGTGCCCAAATTCATGTCTGCACCGAAATGGATGTTGCAGCCAGACTGCCACTCGCCCGCCTAGGCACAGGTTGCCCATCGCGTGCACGCGGCGCGCTACGCACAGGGCGGCCACTCAGCATCTTCTCTAGCGCCCCAGGCAGAGCAGACACCAGCGCTGCCTCGGGAGTGAAGGCTTCAGCAGTTCTATGAACAAGCCCCGCAGCTCTCGTTTGTGTCTCAAAAAACATCGCGTAGAGTAACAAAACCTTGGTTGCTGGGTCCGCAAGAAGCAGTCCTTTCATTCCACCGCGATTTGCCTGCCTCGAGTTGCATGCCGTCAAGGCCGTGCAGGGATGCTGCCGCTGCACGCTTCTGCTGGGAAGTCAACACTGTGGTGGGCTCCTCCGGCGGCGCCTGGTCGCAACTGCCAAAAGCCGAGCTTTTTTTTTGGGATCAATTTGTTTTGCTTGCGTTTGAATGCAATGTCCCTGAAAGATTTTGAGGTGAAGTCGACAGGTGGGCGGCCTGCTTGGCCTTCGGCCGCCGACGCCGCGCCAGGTACGGAGATGGCTTGACCCCTTCTGGCTCTGATTCGGGCTTGGGCTCAGGCTCGAAGGCCGGCCGCGCCTGCAGCAAAAAGTGGCACATGTTGTAATATGGTAGGACCGTGCCATTACACTCTACAATAGGCACTTCACTGCGTTCCATTGCGTTGCATTGCAGTACATTATGCTACGTGTCGAGCATTGCATTGCATTGAATTATATAGCATCCTGAAATGTCTGACCTTATGTTGCTTTACATTACGTTTCAAGAGTGGATTCCGGCGTTTGGTTACAAGCGAATAAGATCATTCTGGGTGCATAAGCAAAGCAGCTTGGTCTTGCCGACAAAGACAGCATGATCAGTTTTTCAGGGAACTTGACTCCAAAACAAATAAATGATACTAGTATATTTGCGGGAGCCCGCACCTCTGTCTGCCGCAGCATCGCCAGTTGAATGGTCTTCAGAGCTGTCTCCCAATCCTGCAAGCAGATCCGGCTCTCAAAACGCGTTTCACGCAACTAAAATCTGACCATGCAGCTGACTACAATCATCGGCATTCTTCCCCGCCTTTTTCCCCGCCTTTTTGTGGCATCGGGCTCTACCCCCCCGGATCCTCCCCCTTTGGATCCTCCCAACTTGCCCCGCACCCGCGGGCTCGGCAACTCGGTTCGGTTCGCCTCGGATCCGTAGAGCTGCCGAAGCTCCAGCAGAACCCGGCGCCGGTGGAGGTCGTTGAAGATGCCCATGGAGCACAGGTCCTGTGCTTGATCAAAAAGGTCCTTGAGGACGAAGGTGAGGACCAGTGGGTTGGGAGAAAGAAGCGGAAAAAGAAAACTTCATCTCCCACATGGGAGTTGAGTTGCCCATTTGAGGCTCAACCCCCACCTGTCTGGATTGTGTGTGCTGGCTGTTTCATTGCATGACTTGAGATGCCCGAGGTGGAATTTTCCTCGGCCTCCCAGAGCATTGTGGAACGTGTGATACGTGGCACTGGCAAACTTGCCAATCAGCCCTCGAGTGAAGTTCTTATAAGTTCCACAAACACTACTCTCCCACAGCACAGGGAGAGTTCCCTGGCGTTGCCTCAGCGCGCTTCCCAGATGAGAGGTGGGGGAAAGAAAGCATGTGTTCTTTCTAGGGTTTGCGATGTTCGCCTCTATCCCGTTTTCAGGAGGTGCAGTTCACAAGCCCAGCCATAGCTCTGCCCCAAAGAAAACCAGAGCAGCTACTCCACTCCTCCGCTGTTAGGTCCAAGGCCACCAGACCATTCACCAGATGATCCTCGAATGCCCGACCAATGCAGCTGGGCAAACCCCGCCACTCTAACCACCGGCTCAGCTCCGTCTCGGTCCAATACCTCAGCCGGAGATCGACAACCAAGCCCTCCCTGCCCCCGCCCCCTGCGCTTCCGAACCAGAATGCCAATCCTGGGCCCATGTGCAACACACAGACGCTCGTAGCGTTGGCAACACAAACTGTCCGCGCTTATCGAGCGGCAAGGGAGAGACATGGAAGAACTCTCGCGTGCCAGAGCTCCACAGGCAGCTCATGGCCCCTCCCCCTGAGCCAAAACAGCAGGTCCAACATGCACGGCTCAGCGAGACCTCTAACACGCCGGCTCGCACCTTCCCATCGCTCCTTTCCGGCACGGTCTCGGGCCTGCTCACGCTGCGTCAGCAGCTGTTCTGCGTTGTACTGCGCAATGGTGGCCTTCATGACCTCGATGCCCGATCCACGAGTAGCTACTCGGGGCCGGTGGACGGGTGCAGAGTTGCTTCCGGCAATATGTTTTTTCGCAAGGCCCTCATGAGACAAGTTCAGCAGAAAGGCAAAAGGATTCGTTGCCGCGCCAACCCTGCCATTTCGACCTCTGTGTGGTGTCTTCTACACTTCTCCACCAGGTGAATGAATGACCAAAGGTGACTGGCCTCATTGGCAATGGAGGGAAGGACGCGCTCATCATAGTCCTCGCCACAGTCGAGTTGCGAGATAACGCTACGAATCAATAGGGATGCTTGGCCAAAAGCACCCATTTCTACCTGCAGCTCCTTCGTTTTGCATGGTGCCTGGTCCTTCCCAATGTGATGTTCACTAACCGCCAAAATGCATTACCAGGATTCACAAACCCCTAGTTGATTAATTTCGGGTGGGGTGTCCCATGTGTAATCCTTCACTTTTACGAGTAACACCCCTTTAACAATCCGCGAGGTACGGTGGTGAATTTATCGCGGGGTCAGCATTAGCTCTGTTCACGACGTGTCCACATCTTCTGCAATCATCGCCTTCTGTGTTTTCACGCATTTACATGTCTGACATTCCATGTAGCTCCCTGCTTTCAAGGCATTTTGCCTTCTCGAACCTGGCAAACAATCTGTGCTCTTTGGCCTTGCTTCAAATCAGAACTTTGTCAATTGCTTAAACAAGCCTGCCTCTTGAAAGTCCACGTATTTACATTAACACTGTCTCTGCTGAAATTGCTGAAATGTATTGCACTAGTCATTAGTCAAAAGCAAGCCTCAATGGGGCTTAGTGTTCCTTCCGCCTCTCTGATCCACGCTTTGGCACTGATCGGTGGCGCTACCAACGCAAAACTCCAAAACGCTGGGAAGGCAACACATACACGGCATTCATATTACACGTATGCACGTTTCAATGCATGTACGTACATATGTATAAGAAATGTGTACATCTGTATATATATATATAGACACATATGTATGTGTGTCTGTCTGCCTGTCTGCCAGCCTGGCTGTCTATCTGTGCGGTCTGTCTGCTGTCTTTTTGTCTGTTTGTCTATTTGTTTGTATGCTTGTGTGTGTGTGTACATCTTTGTATGTTTGCATGCTCGCATGTCTGTCTGTATGTATCTCTCTGTGTCTCTCTGTCTCTGTGTCTCTCTGTCTCTCTATGTATGTATGCATGCATTCATGCATACAGGTATGTATGTCAGTCTGTCTGATGCATGCATGTATGTATGCATGTACGTACGTAGGTATGGATGGATGGATGGATGGGTGGATGGATGGATGGATGCATGTGTATATGTATGTGTGTGTGTGCAGGAATGACTGCATGCATGCATGCATGCATGCATGCATGCATGCATGCATGCATGGAGAGATGGGCAGGCAGGCAGGTAGGTAGGTAGGTTGGTAGGTAGGTAGGTAGGTTAGGTAGGTAGGTAGGTAGGTAGGTAGGGTAGGTAGGGTAGGTAGGTAGGTAGGTAGGTAGAAATGTATGTATGTGTGTATGTATGTATGTGTGCATGTAATGTATGTATGTATGTATGTATGTATGTATGTATGTAGGTAGGTAGGTAGGTAGGTAGGTAGGTATGTATGTAATGTATGTAATGTATGTAATGTATGTAATGTATGTAATGTATGTAATGTATGTAATGTATGTAATGTATGTAATGTACGTAATGTATGTAATGTATGTAATGTATGTAATGTATGTATGTATGTATGTATGTATGTATGTATGTATGCATGCATGCATGCATGCATGCATGCATGCATGCATGCATGGATGTATGGATGTATGTATGTATGTATGTATGTATGTATGTATGTATGTATGTATGTATGTATGTATGTATGTAATGTATGTAATGTATGTATGTATGTATGTATGTATGTATGTATGTATGTATGTATGTATGTATGTATGTGTATGCAATGTATGTAATGTAATGTATGTATGTATGTATGTATGTATGTATGTATGTATGTATGTATGTATGTATGTACTGTATGTATGTATGCATGCATGCATGTAAGTATGTATGTATGTATGTATGTATGTATGTATGTATGTATGTATGTATGTATGTATGTATGTATGTAATGTATCTATGTATGTTATGTTATGTTATGTTATGTTATGTATGTAATGTATGTAATGTATGTAATGTATGTAATGTATGTAATGTATGTCATGTATGTATGTCATGTATGTATGTATGTATGTATGTATGTATGTATGTATGTATGCATGCATGCATGCATGCATGCATGCATGCATGTATGTATGTATGTATGTAATGTATGTATGTATGTATGCATGCATGTATGTATGTATGTATGTGTGTATGTATGTGTGTATGTATGTCTGTCTGTCTGTATGTACGTACGTACGTATGCATACATGCATGCATTTGTGTATGTATGTAAGTTTCTATGTACATATGTCATGGTGTGTTGTGTCGTGGTGTGTGATGTGTTTGTTGTGTTTTGGTATGGTATGTTGTGTGATGCTTTGTGTGGTATATCTTTCATACATCTGATGTACGCTATGCATGACATATAATGAAATGTAACGAAACAAAATGAACAATGGAATGCGATGTATGGTAACGCAACGCAATGAAATGTAGTATAATATAACGGAATGTACTGTAATGTGAGGCAGTGTAGCGTAGTGTAGTGCAATGTAGTCTAGCGTAGTGTAATGTAGGGTAGTGTAGTGTAGGGTAGTGGAATTAGTGCAATGTGATGTAACACAATGACTGTATTGTAATGCAATCTAGTGCAATGTGGTGCAATGTAATGCAATGTAATGCAATGTAATGCAATGTAAGACAATGTAATGCAATGTAAGGCAACGTAAGGCAACGTAATGCAAAATAGTGCAATGAAATGTAATGAAATGCAATGCAATGTAATGCGCTGTAATGCAATTTACTGCAACGTACTGCAATGTAATGCAATGTGATGCAATGTAAGGTAACGTAATGCAAAATAGTTCAATGAAATGTAATGCAATGTAATGCAATGTAATGCGCTGTAATGCAATTTACTGCAACGTACTGCAATGTAATGCAATGTGATGCAATGTAATGCGATGTAATGCAATGCAATTAATGTAATGAGATGTAATGTCTATCACGCAATGTGATGTAGTGTGATGTAACACAGTGTAATGTGATGTAATGCAGCATAATGTCATGCAGTAGTGCAATGTCGTGTAGTGTAATGTATTGTAATGAACACATGGATCTTCCATTTGGCCACTTTTTTGGGCTCTACCAATTTGTTCAGCTCAATTCGGATGTCGAGTGGAATAATGGAAATGAGCAGAAACACTGCTTTGCGCTGTTGTGGCCAGTTTTATCCCCGAAAAATGAGTGGAAAAAAGTGGAATGATGTCAAACCCAAATCAGCTACTGTCCGTTGGGTGCTTTTCCTGAAACAAGCATTGTACATCGAAATGAGTTATCGGGTCTCATCGAGAAAAATACACAAAACAAACTGTACCCAAGGAACGTCTAGGTTTCATGAATGTAATGCAACTTAATGTAATTGTAATGTAACGCAACGTAATGTCCTGGAGCGTAGTGTAGTGTATCAGTTTGCTGTGTAATGCATTGTATTGCGTAATGTCATCTGCTGCTATGCAATGCAATGCAATGTGTGGTAATGTAATGAAGTACAATGCATGTATGTGTGAATCTAATGTATACATATACAAGCGGGAAGTGTGTAGGGCCATGCTTCTTCTCCTGGCTACATCCTGCCGGTTCCTCTCCTCCCTCCCTTCGGCACTGCATGCTCTCCCCTTGGCGTGTGCTCTCCTCGCCCAAGGTTCTGTGGATCGTAGGAAGGCCCTCAATGTCGGGCTTGAAAAGCATTCCTGGCGTCAACCCGGTCCCGGCAAATGCAATGGTGTAGACAGCCAGCGGGTGTCTGACATGGTCTGTGGATCTTAAAGCAAAGAAGCGCCAAGGCCCAAACACTTGAGTCATAATAAAACCCCGGTATTACAATGGTCTACCCAGAACCATGTAAAGAATCAAGAAGGCGGCCGCAACTATTTCTGGTTGGGACTGCCCCTTGCTAACCTTCATCTACCCGGGTTTTGATTGTGGCTCACTTGGGGAAGCGAACGATTCGGCCAGTGCCCGCCACGGACGAAAGCATGCCAGCTGAACGAATGTGAATAGTAACCATCTGCAGGTCCTGGCCCACAGGAAAAAGCTGGCGGAAGATCAATCAGCTGCCCGCGAGAAGACAAATGGATCACTTCCTTGCCCCCACATCTGACAAACTCCTGAATTTGAAACGGCCACCTCGGGATGTTGAGTTACGGTATTAAGAAATTCAACATCACTGGCCCTGAACACAAGAAGAACAGGCATTTTTTTCTTATAGTCCAGTGGTTTCAAGATTGCAACCGCCCTGTGCAAGCCAGCCTTGGTACCTGTTGTGGTCTGGATGAGCTTTGGGCGCAGGCGGATGTTGTACCACTTCGGCTGCATGAGCTGAGTGCGGCACACAGAAAATCACAGCTTTACCCCGAACGCATCTCTCTGCCTTGTGCGTATGCCGAGGAAAACCAGCTCGCTTGGCAGACAGTTCCTCTTGGCCCATGCCTTTTCACTTGGGCCGCTGCCCAGGGGACTTTGAAGTGCGTGCCCTCAGCCCTGGTCTTCTCCTGGCAATGGTTCCCTCTCGCCAGGCTCCAGCCGAACCCAAAGCAACCAGTGCAGAACCGCAGCCCAAAAGCAGAACCCACTCAACTTATGATCAAATCTTCCACGCCTCCACACCTGACAGCATGTTGAGCATC